CTGATAGAATACAGAGAGACTCTTGCCAGGCAGTTGGTCTGATAAGGGTGAGAGATTGAAGCTCAGCAGTAGACCTACCTGCATGGATAGGACAGGTCCCAGGTGAGGTGAGGTGGAAGGATAGTGAGATCTGACTAGTGATGAAAGCAGACATTTGGGGGGTGCTTGGGTGGCTCAGTCATTAAGCATCTGCCTTCGGCTCCGGTCATGATCCCAGGGTCCTGGGATCGAGCCCTGAGTCGGGCTCCCTGCTCAGCGGGAAGCCTGCTTCTCCCTCTCCCGTTCCCCCTGCTTGTGTTCCCTCTCTCGCTGTGTCTCTCTCTGACCAAAAAAAAAAAAAAAAAAAGCAGGCATTTTGGACAAGGAAGGCCCAAGGGCTCAGCAGCCTCTATTCACAACACCAGATGGCACAGGTGGTTTGAGGTAAAGTGCCAATTGGAAGATGAAATGTAGTGTTGGAATGGGTGGATGATACTCATAAGTCCTTTAAGTAAGTCACTATTGGGATGGTCTAAACTTGGTCTAACCTCAGTAACTTCAGTCTCGGGGTGAGGGTTGGAGAGGTTAGACTTCAGAATTTGGAAGGTCCTACTTTTTGCATGATGATTTTAGAACTGTCCTTGGTGAGATTAGCAGCCTGGGTGCCTTGAGACAAAATGTGTGAGCCCTGTGATCAATGTTCATGTACTGTGTCCTAAGCCAAGCCAACAGTGGACAAGACACCATATGATGTTCTGTGGGATGAAGCAGGGTGGGGGTGGAGTGAACAAGTCTCTTAAGTCCTTCATATTTTGAACTTGGTCTGGCCTCAGAAATGAAGTAAAGCTGGGGACTGAGCATTCAGAGCAAAATCAGTGGACCCATGTGGAGTGGCTGGAGAGAGAGAGAGGAGAAAGCAGGGGGTGGGCAGGGAAATGCGGCATCCCCTCTCAAAGTGCTCAACCACCATGGAAAATGAAAGTGTTAGAAAACAGTTTTTTCTTCTTTTCTACCTCAACCAATGCTTGTTAAATTGGATTGTTACACTTCTTGATTAACTAGAATAACCAGGCTGGAAATTGGAAGATGCTCCACTTTAACAATAAGATGAATTAGGCAATAAAAAAGCTGTCAACAGTGATTGTGGTAGAACCATCTCTGAGAGAGCTGAGACTAAAGCAGATACCTGTCTGTTTCAATGATTTGGGAGCATCCCAGTCTCAAAGAGTGAGATTAGAGATTCACGGATGTTTCCTGAATGATGGGGCAGAGAAACATTGACAAGAGTCGAAATCTGTACAAGTGACTTCTGAAGGAACAATACTGATTTGGCAAGACTTCTTCTCTTCTATCGATTATAGTTATCCTTTTTTTTTTTTTTTGAGGGGGGCAGGGGCTTATTTTATCTTTTAAAAAGTACATATGCACACACACATATGGATAATGGGAAATAGAAGTTTTATCCAGGTCATCAAGAATGAAAGAATCCAAATGGTTAAAGCAAAATAGTTTTTTGCTTGAATTAATCAAATAATTGCCGTACCTGTTTATTCCATTTTACTTGTTTGAACTTGGCTCCAGATGATTAAAATTTTACCTATAATCATTATAGTCACATACAATTTTCCAAATCAAAATAAGTGACTACAATTGAAAAAGGATTAAATGATATTTGTACTAGAAATCATAGAAATTCTCTTTAAGGTAATTGCCTCCTTTGAAGACACTGATTTTAAATAACAATACATTGCTCAGCAACTTGTTCTATTCTTTTTTAAAAATGCTTTAATTAATAAAGAGTGTTCCTTCATGTCCCAGAAATACCTCCATGTAGTGGAATTAAGACATTTTCACTAACGAAATAAAGTAAGCAGAAAATATAAGTGTAGGTACATAAATATAACAAAACACATAATAATCTACAATGTTAATCCTCTCTTATATGCAAAGAAAATAAACATATCTTCTGCTGTAAAATGGACTAAAGATTTTATGCAGCCATTTAAAGGAAAGATTGTTTTGTACAAATAAATATAAAATCCCTGGTGATTTTTCCCATCTAAGATTTGAATTCTAGTAATATTCTATTTTGATTTTTGTTATGCTTTTTTCTCTACTTGATGTTTATATGCGTTTGAGAGGCAATACTATCTTTGTAATTATAAATCCATATTTCCGTTTACACAAGCAGGTAGAGTAAATATCTTCTTATTTTGATTGAAGGATTCAATATAGTATTGTCATCTTTAAGGAATGTCTAAGGAATTTTAACAGCATTTTAAATAAACAAATGCAGTAACAAAATGTACAGAACAAATATAGAGAATGAATAAATACCGGTTGTTTGGGGAAAGGCAAATTGCTTAACTTCAATGCAAATGAAAATTTCAACACTTGTTTGAATAAATACATATAACCAAGAGGGCTAGATCAACTCAGGAATCTTAAGAAGAATTTATGGCCTTTTGCCTGGGAAAGAGACCAAGGGTGGTCTTGATTCACCAGCCTAATAAATGTGCTGAGTCTCCAAAGAATGAGAGGCTCATTGCAGAGCAGACTAAGAGAACGGTACTTTGGAAAGTATGGGAAGTGCCTGGCACACAGGCACTCATAGTAGGTACGAACCACCCAGAATCTAAGTGGAGTTAATTTTTGTTTCCCAGTGATACTGGCCAGGCCAGTGCAGGGGGATGTCTTGCACTTTTGAGAATGATCCACTGACTCCTCTCAGCCATGATCTTGAGAGACAAAGTTGGGAACACATCGGCAGGGAAGAGAAAGTCTGTTCTCCTGCTTCTCCCTTTCTTTCAGGCCTACTAGACTATGCAGATGAGAAAGATCAAGAGAGCCAGAGCCCAGAGAGAGCAGGAGTAAGAAAGAGAGATGGTGGAGGGGGAGAAAGGGCAGGGAGATGGAGGGAGAGGGCCAGAGAGAGAGAGAGACAGACAGACAACAGGCAGACCCAGAAGGGGATCTCGGAGGCAGTCTTTCCTGTTGTGGGTATTTGGCCACCTCTCAGGGAGAACGTGTGAGCCAAGTAGAAAGTTTCAGGTGGTGCCTGGCTGAGCCCATCTCAGGTGACCCTCGGAGACGGTGTAGCCAGAATGACAGTCTGCTTTTGCCGCTTTCTTTACCTTCTTGCCCTTCTCTCTCCACTCTGGCTCCCTGCTACACTGGGTCCTCAGTTCACCTGTCTCTAGCTGTAAGCCTCCTTGTCCCTGCCCACCCTCACAGTACTGAGCACTCTGGATTGGCCTTGGGGTCTCTCCCTGTGGGCTGCCCCATGCTCAGGGCTCCCTGACCATAGTCCAGAAGAGCAAGGAAGGGCCGAGAGACCATGTCCAGATGGTATATCAGCACTGTGAAGAAGACAGGACTGTCTTTGGGCCGTGGACCACGGGAGAAGGGCCATCCCTCTGAGGGGATCTGTTTTGTGCCCCAGCTCTGAATGCTGCAGCCTATTGTTTCCTGGACTTGAGGAAACATCACAGGAGAGTTAATGGCATCATACGTACACAATTATTTTTATTTTGAGTTATTAAAGAACAAAAGGACAAATGTAGGAAACAACCTGAAACTCTAGCTAGGACTAGTAACTGGATTTATTAGGTTTTGTTTACAGTTATAAACTATTTCTTATAAAGAAAGAAGGACAAAATGTGAAACCAGTTTGAAGATAAGTATAATATACAGTAAGCTAGGTTTATTTAATTTTTAAAATTTAAATTTGATTTTTTTATTTTAATGTTTTATAAATGTTAATTTTATACTTCAGATACTCTGATATTATGCTGTTTTGAGTTACAAGCTTCTCTATTGCCTTTCCCTACCTACTTTTTTTTTTTTTAAAGATTTCATTTATTTATTTGAGAGAGAGAAAGAGAGAGTGAGCATGAGCCTGGGGGAGGGGCAAAGGGAGAGGGAGAAGCAGACTTCCCGCTGAGAGGAGAGCCCACTGCAGGGCTCAATCCCAGGACCCTGGGGTCAAAGACCTGAACCGAAGGCAGGTGCTTAAACCACTGAGCCACCCAGGAGCCCCTCCCTCCCTACTTTTATCATGTTCTAATAAAATATAAAATATGAACTAACAATCTCATCCTGTCTTTTTTTTACTGCTTTCATCACTAAGTAATTTTTAAATTTTTTTATTCTAAATTGTGGTAAAATACACATAAGACAAAATTTACCATCTTAAGCATTTTAAATATACAGTTCAGTACCATTAAGTATCTTCACACTGTTGTGCATCCCATCTCCAAAACTTTTCATCTTGCACTAATAATTAACTTTTAGTATACAGCATTACTAAAGCAAATTTCTTTTTAGTGGGGGGAGGATTTCTCTTACAACAAAATATCTTTCACTACTAACACTCACTGATCTTACAGAAGTGGGTTGTAACAAGAAATGTATTGTACAACCTTCAAAGCCTGGCGGCTCCACCAGCTCTCACACTATGACTAAAGACATCATTGTGCTTTCTTGCCTCAGACAAGTACGTGAGTAATATCCTTTTATGAGTGATTGACTGCGGCTAACATGCATACACTTCTCTATCTCCCACACTGGGGAAAGCTCTTTTTTTTTTTTAAGGCAATACAATTGAGTCAGAACTTTCTATGCAAACATCTAGATATCAAGAAGTAACTGTTGATATAATACCATCTCTAAAATCCTTGCAGTATGAAGTAATAGAAACGCTTTTTATGGGCATTCCAAATACTGATGTCCTATTTACTTTGTATGCCTTTGAGTTGAAACACAGTCTGTGCAAAAAGAAAAAAGGCAGGCAAAAGGCACTCATGACAATGAGGAAGAACGTCTGAAGGCAGCATAGAGCAAAGATTCACACTCATCCCTTGAGACTCATTATTTATCATGGTGCTTTGATATATAATGCCCTTTTTACAATTTACATTCATTTTAAGTATGTTTTTCAATCAGGCAAGGGTTATTTTACCATGTTTTAGTTCACTAAAGTGTTTATTCCTGGGAGCCAAATATTGGAAATGAAGCATTACCTTTTTAAACATTCCAGGTTCCAGAGGTAAAGGGCGAGGCACCTCAGCTGTGGTGTGAAGGAGCTGGGATTCCCCACCATGCAATGCAAATCTCTGGCACTCTGGAGCCACATGGCCTCCATCCACTACCTCCAAAGCTCTGTAAAGAATGGAAACATAAAAAAAAAAAAAGAATGCAAACATAGTTATGTCAATAACCTATCAAGAACTCTGGAAACTCAAGAAACCCAAAAGCGCATTTCTGTCTGTTATTTCCAATTAGCCAAGATCATTCTTCAAAACCTACACGGGGTTGTAGATAATTTGGTACTCTCATACACATTTAGGGATAAACCATGAGGACTTCGTCATGTGGCCCACAGAATTCTTTTAAACCCTATGCAGACAACAAATCAGAGCTAGATAGGTAGATAATTAGCACTTATAGATAGGTTTGGGCAATCCAATTTCATTTTACGATTTCTTGGTTGCTCTACTGTCATCACTCTTAAGAAAAGATATTTGTACATTTCCTGAACATTGGAAATAAAGTAGGAACTAAATCCATTAGGAGAAAGATCTAGGCTATGCCAGGGAAAAGGAATCATTCCCAGGATTAATATTTATTAGAGTTAAAAGAAATGGAAACCAATGAAGGCAGAGTGTTCTAGTCAACCCTGGTGGTTTCCTACCCAAAACCATTTCCTTTATCCAAACTCCCAGACACTTCACCCCCTCCCACCCCAACCCCACATGTACTTTTTCTTCACTAGTAACCCTGATTTTGTTCAGATAGCCATCTTCCATGTGCCTCAGAGGAAGCCACTTCTGGCTTAGTAGTCCATTGTGATTAGTCTATTCCTGGAGTCCTGTTCCCCTTGCCAGTAACTGACTTAGGCATATGTCCATACATCTCTCTTGCTGATATTACCCCATTGATTTATGTCTGTGTGACCCTCTAAATGGTTTATACTTTGTCTGAGTTATCTTTTGCAAGTCTGGCCAATGAGATGTGAGGGAGTCTGCTGAAGGTATCAGTGGAAGGTCTTTCTCTCAAAAGAAGGTTTACAGAAAAAACTAGTTCTTGCCTGTAGGCCAGTGTCCTGCCTGCATATGATGACTGTGACAGCCATCTTGGAACCATGGGTGACATTAGCCAAGGAGAACAGATAGAGCAGAAAGCAGACAGAAATATGAGAGCCTGAGTCTTCAAATACATTGTTGAGCAATTGGATTAACCAATCCTAGACCTGCCCTAGCTCTAGAGTTCTTGTTATGGTACGTAATGAATGTTCTATAAGCCATTTTGAGTTGGGTGTTCTCTGTTATCTGCAATTGAGCAGATACAAGCATTGATACATTTCTTAACTGTATAATTAAGGCTGGAATAAAGATACTGGAGCAGGATAAGGTCTTTGAGTGAAGAATGCTAATGAAGTGGAAAGAGAACTAAAACTCCAAGGCTTTAATAATTCACAGAAGAAACAGAAGGTAGGTTTAGTTTCTCAGTGGCCAGAGGAAGGGGAGGACTTCTATAAATAGTCCAGGAATGGTGCTTGCTCCGTCCATAATTCTGAGACAGGAAATTCTGAGTGTTTGTAGTACAGCCCATAACCTCTCAGCTTCCTTTGAGGGGAGGAGGCTGATGACGTGTTGGCTCACTCCTCTCTCCTTCTGACCCAGATACAGGCAGTGTGGCTGTGCACCTGGTTACAGGCGCGATTATTTCAAACTTGGCTCCAGAACTGGGTCGGGCAGATAAAGAAGGCCACAGGGTGTGTGGGCTGGGAGGGCTTCACAAGCAGAGCTCAACTTTAGGACAGTTTCTCACCCAACCCCAGATGCTCAGGCCACCCCACGAGCGTTTCTAGGTCCTCTGTAGAGTGTCAGCCATGGAACTTGTACTCACAGCAAACTTATTGTACAAGTTTGTCTGCTGAAACCAATCTTCACAGAATATTACACAAAAATAACAGACCCAGAATCATGCTGGAGGGTCCCTAGGCCATGTGGTCACTTTTTAACAACATCTAGCTTCATTCTTTCAGCAAGCATTTTTACATCTCTGTGTGTGTGTCATATGTCAAGGTACACAAGATGAACAAACCCACCCTCTGCTCTCAAAGGTATTAAGGCCCGGTGGTCATAGGGGCTCTTTAAGGGGGCCCTCTTATTCTGAATAATAGTTATATACAGAGCGAGGCAAGAGAAATCCCCCTGGCCTAAGAGCCAACCTTAGTAAGTGGTGTTTGTAAAGGGAAAGGCCAATTAGGAAACTTGGCTAATTTTTCTTTTCCAAAGGGTAAATTTTAGTTTAACTCCTGAGTAGACTACAGGTAGTCATAAGAAAGGATGAGCTGGGCTCCCTCGTGAGAAAGTTAAGATTTGTAAATGGAAGTACAGTTTTCTTTGTGAATAGTCACCACTGATCTCTTATTAAGAACAATATCTCTTGGGTTAAAAAAAAAAAGACAAAATAAAATAATAAGATCCCCCAAACACTGCCATACTAGTCTGGAGTTTTAGCAGAGAATAATTTATTTATTTGCTAATTATAGCCTGTACTTTCCTTATTTTAGCACAGATATGTTGCCAGAAATGAAAGAGGTTCAGTGTTAACTCCTTCACTTTACTCAGACTCATAAATAAGTGCAATATTTGCCCACTCATCCAGTTACTCTCTCTGCTTCCTTTTTTTATTTGGCTTGGTTTTAAAAACCAGATTGCCATCTTCCCTGGAGATTAACTTGGTAGGAAATTAATAATGGCAAGACTGTCTACCCTTTCCTAAGTTAAAAGCCAAAAGGCTTTCCAGACAAATCCAAGCTTTGTGTGGCTTGAGGCTTATATAATTTGGGGGGGCCTCTTTAAGAAAAAGAAAACAAGCTATCTTACTTTTTCAAGCACACTTTTTCAAACTTTATAACATTAGGACCTCTCCTAAAGCCTTGGGAGTGGCCCTTAAAGCATAAGCCTCATTTGCTTCCCATAAATCTGTTTCAGGTTTTCCTAATTCGGTCTACTTCATCAAGTTGTCCTCAAGCATTTTAATACATGTAGCCCAATATAAAACAAGTTCAATGAGTTTCTTTATCTGATAGTTCTTTTTCTTCTTTTTTTTTTAAAGTAGGCTCGCATGTTCTACCAACTGAGCCAGCCAGGCGACCCTCTTTATCTAATAATTCTTGCTTCAGAGATAATGTACATGTAAAATAATAAAATGCGACGCCAAAGTAAAGGTTTAGGTTTAATTGCACGGTGCAAATTGATGCTGTACTGCCATCTAGTGTCCACTCAAAGAATTCTTCGTGTGTTCTAATAAGCCTTGGAACGGGGATTTCAAAGTTTCTGAAGGGGCTTCCAGCTGCATTGAATTATTTCCTCATGAGCACTTAAAACACCAGATATTCTTCTGAATCATGGCAGTGGTTGTACAGCTACATAAGTTTCCTGGCCATGAAGAAAGAGAGAAAACTTTTAATTCACTACAGGCTAATAGTATGGGTAGTGTTTTTTTGCTGCAACCTCTAAATGGTAGAGAGCTACCATTTCCTGAGCAACTCAGATTATGGACACACACCATCAGAACATTCTAGACTTGAAAAGGCCCTCGAGATTACCTGGTGCAGTCCTCATTGCAGATTTGAAGAGACAATGGCTCTGAGAAACCGTGAGGCTGACACAACTGGGGGGCCTGCTGATTAGCCATGTGCATGGACCTGGAAGTCTGACTTCTATGCCAAGGCTCACCCAGAGCAAATAATGACAGTGTCACCATAAGGCCATGTAAATCTGTCCTATCTCCAGAAAACAAACAAACAAACAACCACATTTATTTACCTTGGAAACCAAGGGGTTTAGATTTACAGATGGATTTTTCTTTCAGAAGCAATGTCATATTCAGTCTTCTAATTTTCTCAGCCAAATAGGAGATGGAATATCTCTGTGGTAAACACACAGATTTCAAGTCATACCAGCCTAGCCATTAGCTATGTGAACTTAGTGAGTTACATAACTTCTCTAAGCCTCAGCTCCCTCATCTGCAAAATAGGGATAATAACTAGACTGTCATGAGAATTAAATTAGCTAATGCTCATAAAAATTAGCTAATACTTATTAGCTTAGTCCTGGCACATAGTAGGTGCTCAGTAAGTACCAGTTATTTTAATTATGCATATGTATGTCAAGTAACATTTCCTGCATAACAGCTTACTAGGTATCATATAGATGTCACTTTGAGCTAGCATATTTATCAGGCTCAACTATGTAATGATATAGAAACAAGAATGGCAGAGATGGGAGTACAGAACCCACCTGACTCCCAGTTTAGAGACTAATTTCAAATTCTCTGCAGATGAGTTTCATGATCACAGTTGGATGGAGATATAAATATAACTTTCTATGATCATTCAAGTTTTAAAGATCCAAAACATCCTAGGAGTTTTAGCTACATAAAGAATACTCTGACATTAATAGAAGTATTGAGCACCAGCAAATGGTATAGCTTTTAATGCAGAAACTCTGCCATCTACTGGTTGCACAAGATCATCAGTCTACTTGTCCTTTTTTTTTTTTAGTGTTTCTATAAAAAGTAACACTCTCAAGTCCAGTCAGCCTCCATCCTCCTGGGTCCGTCAGTGTTTTAAATGGCAGCTTGAAGGTTTGGGACCATCTCCCAATGTGCTGTGTGGGGCAGAATGTCCAAGTTCCCGTCATATCTGACCACTGGAATGCAGATCATCTTCTCTCCAACAAAGCCTAGGGACATTTGCCATAATAATTCCATTTTGTGAAATCTAGGCTTTGGGTATTTAAGAGTCTGTGAAATTTAATCAAACTCTCTCAGAACCAATAATTGTAAATTTGGGTCATCTGGGATCACTCTCCATGATCAAGAAACTATGAAGCCCACCTAGAACCAGACTGGGCTCAACAAAGTTTGGCTTCATTATTGGCGATCCCAGAGGAAGGAAGGATCTCATTCTGGGCAAGAGCAAAGAGGACAGGGGACCAAAACAACCTGGGGAATAACTGTCCCAAACCCCAGGAGAACTGACAAACTGAGGTCTGTGTCTCAAGGAAAGGCTCAGGTTCAGTAGGAGACTCATGTTTTATGCATGATTGCACACTCACCCACTTAGAGGAACCAAAGATCGTGGT